AGCATTTTGAAAATTCCGAATTTTGTTATACATTTAAGAAATTGAGACTAAGTAAATTTCGTGTAACAACTTTTTTTCATAGAATATTTTCTGATTTATTTGATTTATTTATTTCCTTTTTATTAATAAATAAAAGTTCTTTACAGCAAAAAAGTTTAACGAACATATTACATTAAAAGAAAATCATTACCAAATTTGGTTGCGAGATTCAACACGAAAATTATTGTTGCACTTCTGAGCATAACTTTCAAATTTAAAAAATCTATGAAAAGACAAATTTTTTTTAGATTAATAGACTCCCTTTTTAAAGCTGAATAGAATGGTGGTGGGTTTTTTAAAATCTAATGTGTGGAACACATAATATTTCAAAAATTTTAACTGTAATAGGGTCACGAATGTAACAATCATTAATAGGGCCAATTAATTTAAAGTTTAGGGTCAATCTGCGAGTCAAATTATTATATGCATCAAAAAGGGTTGGTTAGATTTAATAGGGTCAAATCTATTTGATAGTCTGACGATTTATTAGGGATCCAAAAAAATTTGTGTACCATTGATCAGTTAAATCAATTGATTGGTGAAATTTAGTTTCATTGATAAACAGTTTCAAAATTTTTTAATGTTAGTATATATTATAGGTCAAATTATGTTCTTTTTTTCTAATGTTATTTGCAAACTTTAGGGTCAAGTTACAGTATATATTAAACTTAACTTTGTTCTGGATCAAATTATAAAACAAATAGAAAATTTGTTACTGGCCTATCTATGAAGTTTGCAGGACCTGTTATAGTAGGTTGTAAAATCACAAATTTGATCAAAAAGACCTTGGAGGTCCCAAATGATTCACATTACTAAATTTTGATCCTGAAATCTTTGATAGTACAAATGTTTGTTCAGTATATTTTGAGTAGAGGTTGCACCCAATGAATAATATTCAGTGAATTGGATATTTTTGATTTTTTCATTGAAAAATATAAATGAATATTCACTGAATAACTAAAAATTAATATATTGTGTAACTGAATTGAATGAAATCTTGTGTCAAATTTAATTCATATAATTCATTAAATTTAAAATGGAAGAGGAGCCTTCAATTACTATAATAGGAGAAAGTGATAATACAATAATGAGAAGGGAGGAGCATTCTGCTGCTCATATGTTGAAGGAAAGCAAGGTAAATAGTGGTCTAAGAAGTCAAATTGGATATGGAACTTGATGAAAGAAACTGAAATTGTGAAAGATGGAGAAAAATCTAAGGAGCTATTTTTCAAGTCAATGTCTGAAGTTTCTGATATTATTGTTCATTGTAATGTTGCAGTATATGGTGGTGAATCTACATCTAATTATATTACACATACAATGGCCTCAAAAAGAACAAAACCTAATCCACTTTTATTTGAAAAGGTTGTTTTTTTGAAAAAAAAAGAAAGAGATGGTTCTGATAGAATGTAAATAATTAAATAAATTTAAAAAATTTCTGTTAACAATGAATATTCACTGAATATTCATTGAATAATCAATCAATGTAAATAATTTAATGATTGTACAACTTCTATTTTCGAGTGCCTCATAAAAATCAAATCCCCTGCTTCATACATTTCACGAATTAATTTCTATAATAAAATGCCAGTTGCAAAGATAGCACCCTCAATGCTTTCTAGCGATTTTTCGCAACTAGCAAATGAATCTGATCGAATAATCAAAGATGGCGCTGATTGGTTACATATGGGTACGTAAAAAAAATAAGAATTACTATTTTTAATTATATAAAAATATTAACAAACATACTATTTATTATTAAAGATGTGATGGATGGGTAAATTATATTTACTTATTATTTTTATTTGGCATTATACAATCATTAAATTGAATTAATTGTATAACAAATGATTAAATAAAGACACTTTGTTCCAAATATTACTATTGGTGCTCCAGTTATTCAATCTCTTCGTAAACATACAAATGCATTTTTAGGTGAGAAATAATAAATTGTGTATGTGAATTTAATATGAATGCAATTGATTGATTGACTTTTTAATTATACAGATTGTCATTTAATGGTTGATAATCCTGGAAAGGTTTATTTTTTAATTTTTTGAAATATAACATAACATCAACAAAAATAAATGTTTATAATAATAATAATATAATAATAATAATGATAATAATAATATTTATTGATAGTGGGTTGATGATTTTGCAAAAGCTGGTGCATCTATGTTCACCTTTCATATAGAAGCAATGGAAAATCCTGAAGATATTATTGATAAAATTCATAAAGCTGATATGAAAGTTGGAATTGCCATAAAACCAAAAACTCCAATAGAAGCTATATTTCCATTTGGTGACAAGATTGATATGTGTTTGGTAATGACTGTTGAACCAGGTTTTGGTGGTCAAAAATTTATGCCTGAATGTATGTCAAAAGTAGGTGTTATTATTATTTTGATATTATTATTTATTGTTATATAAAATAAAACAAATAATAATAATAATAATAACAGGTAAAAATATTAAGAGAAAAATTTCCTGAACTTGACATTGAAGTTGATGGAGGTCTTGCTCTTGATACAATAGATCAAGCTGTTGAAGCAGGTGCAAATGTTATTGTTGCTGGGACTTCTATTTTTAAAGCACAAAGCCCCAAAGATGTGATTTCTACTTTTAGAGAGAAAATCAATGCTGTACAAATTAAATCTTGATTATTTGTTGTAGTTTTGTTAGTGATGTGATTTTTTGATAAATGACTTTGTTATTTAACATTTTTTAATAAAAGAAATTAGGCTATTTATCACTTTTCATTATATATTTATAATTTTTTTGCAAGAATTGATGTTATGTAGTTTTTTTTTTAAATTATTAGTAAATAAATTTTTAAAATTTTATTTGCATGAATTTGTTAAATCTCCCTGACTAGGATTGGATCTTTTCAATATTGAGAGTGTTGTCCAAGTATATATATTTTTACTAAAAATGACTTAGTTTAGAATATATTTGACTTAGGCCATTGGAAAATTGGAAGAGATTGGAAGCTTGTACATCACCAATACTATTGACCAACCCAGAAACCAATCACGTGATGACTCGAGGACCAATGGTCACATTGGAATAACATGACTTGGCTTTTTGTTTGTAAAAGTATGTTTGTGTAGTTCTTCTGCGTGTAATTTTTCATGGCAGCCAATACAAACAGCACATGTAATGTATTTTTATTTATTTTTTTGCCTAATGCTTTAATATATCTTGTCAGATGATGGTTTTTTTGGTTTATCATGATTGGTTTGATGAAAATAATTACAAATTTATTTTCCACAGTTAGGGCGCTGGCATATATTAGCTAATATCATTTTAATAGTATGGTGCACGTCACCTATAAACTTTTAAAGTTAAAATTTCGGACTAAAATTCTTTCCATAAAAAGTAAGTGATCGCTGATAATTTTTATTGGTTTATGTCGCACCAATATCCATTTTTTTTTAATATTATTCATTTTATAAAATGCCAAGACCATCTAAAAGATAATTACACACAAGAAACCTAGTAAATATTAAAGAAAGAAATTCTAATGGAACTTTTGGTATTAAAAAAACAAAAGAATTGAATGATTCTTCAGTAGAAGCTCTCAAACATGGTGACAATGATATTATCTGGGAAGAAAAAGACATAGAACAAATAGAATCAGATGATTCTTTGACAAAAATTCTTGATGATGAGGTTGAATGGGGTGATTATGATGATAATGATGATGGTGACTTGGAAGAAGATAATATAGAACAAGAAAAAAATATTTACAAATATTTAATTAATAAACCATTAGAGTTAAAATGGACTGATGGTGCTTCATTAGAAAAGCAAAAGAGAGGCAAGTATATGAAAGGCAAAACTCCAAATTCTACTTATTATGACAAATATGGTCCAAGTGGTACTTTTACTAAAGCAGCTGAAGGAAGTCAAAAGATTACTGATTTTTTTCAATCTAAAGAATCTGAAAATTTACCAGGTGATTGGGAAAAGATTATGGATGATGAAGGTGAAGAAGATAATGAAGATAATGAATGGGGGAAAAAAAATATATTTGAAAAAATAGAATTTTTGAAAAATGAATTAACAGATGGTAAAAATAATATGGCTTTTTCTGAATACAATAAAAAACATGCCATTTTTGAATATTTAAAAAGATTAAACAATGGAAAAAGGAAAATAAATTCTAGCTTAGAAGCAGCACAAATAGTTTTTATTGACCCTGCACAATGTAAGTCAAGAACAGTAAGATATTGGGTATCATATTGGTTATCAAATAAATCAATTCCTATTAGTAAACAAGGTAAGCATAAAAAAATTATCAGATTAATTGATGATGAGGATATTGCTGAAAAATCTCATTTATGGATAAGAAGTCAAGGAGGAACAACAACACCAACAAAGTTTAAAGAATTCATTGAGTAAAATTTGCTATTAGATACTGAAACTACTAAAAAGAGCATGAGTATTACTACAGCCTCAAGATGGTTGAATGTATTAGGTTATACTTTTAAGCAAAATCGTCAGGATATATATTATGATGGTCATGAAAGGCCAGATGTTGTCAAATATAGAAAAAAATTTTTAGAAGAAATATTTAATTATGAAAAGTATATGACAACATTTGATGATGAAATCTTAGAACCAATTCCTCCAATCCTTAGTCCTGATAAGAAGGAAATAATATTAGTTACTCATAAGGTTGCTTGCCAAAACTCCTCCAGAAATCAATCAGCAAGGTTTTGGCAGGTTACACATTAATTGTTTATTAGAGTTTCGGAAGAGTTTCACATTTTGAGGTTTCGCCATTTCGGCATAGTTTCAACAGGATTTTTGATAAGATTTAATATAGTTTTACCACAGTTTCAGCAATTACTAAGAAGGTTTCTCCCACAACCTTAGTTACTCATGATGAGTGCATCTTTTACTCTAATGATGGAAAGAGAGGAGTTTGGGCAAGGGATGGTGAATTGCCATTGAAAAAAAAGGGCAATGGAAGATGTATTATGGTAAGTGAGTTTTTAACCGAGATTCATGGGAGATTATGTTTAAACCAGGATCAAATTATAGATAACCTGAGGAAGCAAAAACAATTTTGAAACCAGGAAAAAATCATGAAGGCTATTGGAAAAGTGATGATTTAGTAGGACAAGTTGAATTAAAAGCCATTCCAATTTTTGAAATTCTCTTTCCTAATTGCATTGCTCTATTTGCATTTGACAATTCCACTAATCATGCTTCTTACAAGGAAGATGCCCTTGTTGTTAATAGGATGAATTTAAGTCCAGGTGGAAAGCAACCTAAAATAAGAAATACAACCTTTGGACCTAACAATACATTACAACATATGGTATTTGAAGATGGAACACCAAAAGGAATGAGACAAGTATTATTTTGAAAGGGGACTGTGAAGAGATGATTTATTAGCAGACTGCAAATTATGTAAAGGTAAAGGTAAAGTTTTAGATGAAAATAGGGTAGATTGTTGTGCAAGAAGGATTCTTTCAATGCAGCCTGATTTTAAAAATCAGAAGTGTGCATTGGAAGAAGCTATTTTAGAAGCAGGACACTTATGCATCTTTTACCCCAAATTTCATTGTGAGTTAAACTTTATTGAAAGGTATTGGGGTAAAGCAAAAAAATACACTCGAGAGAAGTGTGATTATACATGGGAGGGTTTAATAAATACTGTTCCAGAAGCTCTAAATTCAATAGATGTAATAACAATTAGAAGATTTGCAAGGAAATCATGGAGATACATGGATCTATATAGGAATGGAATTATTGGAAAGTTGGCAGAGTATGCTGTCAAAAAATATAGATCACATAGAAGAATTCCAGAGTATATTATTCAGGAATTAAATAATATAAAATTGACTTAATTTTTTATTTGATTTGATTATTATTCTTTTCTTTTTAATTATTTTTTTTACTAAAATATTTTAACTAATTTTAAATTATTAAAAAATGAACCATTAGAGTATCTGTCAAATGATTTGACATACAAAAATATTTTTTTTGCACTTTGCATAATAATAAAAAATAATTACTTATATTGGAAAGATCTACATTTTTAAATTTCGCACTATTGACGTTTATAGATGACGTGCACCATAGCGCTTACTCCCCCACCCCAGGTAAGACATTTTGATCACGTGGACGACAATCATTTGCCTTTTTAGGTATCAAAAAAGCACAAGCGAAAAAAAGAATTAATTTTATTAATAAATCAAGCAACATTGGAGCAATAAATTTTCCTTTATAATATATTATGATCTCTTGGAATTTCTGGGTATGATTTGCATTGGCTATTTCTTGACAAAACAACTTATTTGGTTCTGAGTATAATAACTCTTACTTATTTGAAAATTATAAACAATGCATCTTGCTAAAGGAAAATCTAAAGAACAAAACTCAAGGATTCTTGATGATTTCTCTCTTCTCAATCACAACAAAAGTGGCCTCTTTTTGACAAAATATATTTAAGGAAATGTATATCAGATAAAGAATGATTAATTATAGCATTTATGTATATGAGAATGTGAGAATTAATTGCCATATCATCCTGTAGACAAAAAGTGTAATGCAATTTTTTGTGCAAATGACAATTGGTTTGCATGTAGATCATTCCCAAATTGAAACACTTACATTCAAATTATAAAAATACAGATCTTTCACTGAAGCCATTATGATCACGTTATTTATGAGATTGTGTGACCTAAGATTTTCTGTTATCCCCACCTCCTAAAATATTAGCTAATATATGTCAGTGCCCTTATTATATTAATGTTATCTGTAATTCTGAACATGGGTCCCACCCAATTGACTGACAGACATTATATCAACAGCCGTTATACCAACAGGACATTTTACCAACAGGACATTATACTGACAGGACATTATACTGACAAGTCATTTCATAGTGCAATTAATCAATCTAGCCATCTAATAAATGGCTTAACCACTTAAACAGCCTAGCTGTCTAATAAATGGTTTAACAAACTTGAACAGCTTAGCTGGCTAATAAATGGTTTGACAGCTTAGCCGGCTAATCAGCTAACATCATCAGATATATTAATATATATTATATGTGCCATTTCTTAATGTTAATGGATAATGATAATGAACTGATATGGTTATGTAGGAAAACAAAGAAATACAGTCAACCCCTCTAAGTGCACCCTCCTTGGGAACATATTATTATTTCTCATGAACGTGCATTTAGAGAGGGTGTGCATTTAGAGGGGATAATTTTATAAGCTCACTATAAAGTTTGTGAATGAGACATGGCGTGCATTTAGAGAGGGTTTACATAGTGAGTGCATTTAGAGAGGGCACACTTAGAGGGGTTGACTGTATTATGCTAAATTGATAGAATATATTAGAAAATGACTTGTCAGTATAATGTCCTGTTGATATAACATCCTGTCAGTATAATGTTTTGTCAGTATAATGTCTTGTTGGTATAATGTCCTGTCGGTATAACAGCTGTTGGTATAATGTCTATTGGTCGATCGGGGTAAACCCCTGAACATTCAGGAAAACACTAACTGATTGAATATGCAAAATTCTAATTAGAAAAGAATATGAAATTCAATGTATAAATATTCTAACAAGTTTTGACTTTAAAAACTATTTGCTAGTACAAAAATTATTCATCTGATTATCAATTATTCCTTCACGCAAACAAATAATTAACACTTATAAAAGATTGCTCATATCCCGTAACACTGTTTTTTTCCTTACTTGGAATAGATTGTATGAATTTGGTTTTGATCTACTGTTTTTTTTTTTTGTTTGTTTGCCTATATTTGTTTTTTTTCGCCCCATATTTGTAAATAAACAGTGGTACGGGAAACAAGACGTTGTAGAAGAGTGCTCATTATACATGAGC